CCAGTGCACACATTTGACTGAGAAATCTGTAGCTGAATATTTTAAAGCGTTTCCAGCTATACCAAAGACCAAAGCTATAACACGCATGTCCTAATCAAACTTCAGAAGAAAAACTGACTGTGGAGCAATATATAGCTTTTGTCTCTCACTTTTGGGAAGAGTGAGTATACACAACCCAGAATTAATCATACCTTGTGTTTCAGCATGGAAGAAATGGCAAGATTTCACATAGCAGCTTGTTTGCCACAACTAATTTCTTCTCTTTCAGTTGGAAATCACTGGTATTTTAAATGAGGTTTATAACAATTTTGGTAGGTTTTTGGGACGTTTGGTAGGTTTTTATTACTGTATAAGAGAAAATTTAGGGTTTTCTTTTTCAAAGTAACAGAGCACCAGATGTTTTTTGATATTGATCCATGCTGCTCCTCTGCCACCATAACAGAACATCTCTGTCTCTGCCAGAAAATAGTATTGTGATAATGACAGGCACCCTTGGGAGAAAACAACTCACTCACTGCTGAAAAATTCCATCCTAGAGTGAAAACTCCTTCCCTTTAATGTACTTTCACATAGTGTTATGTGAACTTAATTATACTGAAACTTGTATTATAATTATTTTCTCTGTTTCAAGAAAATTGGACTGACTTGAATTGACTGTGTGTCAGTCAGGCTGCTTATGTTTTCATCTGTTTGTCATAAATTCCCCATGGAAAAATAGGGGTGAAAATAAAGCTTTTCTACTTTACTCATCTCCTGAACAGCCAATAGTATCACTCATAAACACAAAGAGAAGGATTGACCAAGACACTATTTAAGAGAGAAGGTACACCTTTTTGAGATCTTTCTCTGTTTGCCTATTCTTATGTCACCTTCTCATCCTGCCAGGCCAGAGGTGTGTGGGTTCCTAGGAAAACAGACCCTAAAATTGTTGCCTCATTCCTAACTGCTGCACACTTCAGTATATTCCAGAACAGAAATTTGACTGTTGAAAGAATCCTCTTCAAGGCAGCGGGACGTCTCAGACTGAAGCACTTAAGGTATGGCAGGGAAGAGGAGGATCAGGGCTGTTGATTTGAGTCTCTTCAGCTACGAAAACCTGCTTCTTTTATTTTTGTCCACAACATGAAAATGGAATCAACAGGCAGAGACAGATTTCTGTACCTCATTAGTGACGCTGATGCCTTGGACATCCTGTGGATATTCAGGTTCTCATGCATGAAAGGTAAGGAGATGCATGACAGATGAAAGAGATTATTCTTGTGTAAAATACCTCTATCTCATGTTTGCAAATACTATAAGAAAAATTATCATTACTCACCCTGCCAAAACAATAAGCTGATGTGAAATTTGACTACTTGGACACACTGTTGCTCACAGTTAAGCAGCTTGTGGGAGAAAGTAATTGCTTGGAATAATTTCAGACACTGTAATTTAAAGATCAGATTCAAAATATCTAAAGCACTTTACAGTCACACCTAAATCTTCCCATCATCAACTCCAGTAACAAAATTGGATACATGTAACCTTCTGCAACATCGTGATTTTCTGAAGATGGAATTTTCCCACTTGAAAGAGGCTATCTTCACGGCAGAGAACTACTTAAATATCTTATGCTGACTTTAATTTCAGCAGCAATTGAAATGCTGCATCTCAAAGTAGTTAAAAGCTCCAGCATATATATTACACAAAAACTTCTCAAAGTGACTTTTCCAGAACAGCAAAATGCCGGTTCACTGACATTTTTGATTACATTTTACAGAATGCAAGATTTGCTGTTGGTTTGAAAATAAAATGAAATGAAAAACATTTTTCTAAGACCATCAGCAAAAGAATGCCTCCTAATAAGGGACACAAAAACCTACAAGATCCTTTTTCTAGCCACAATACACAGTGCTTAAGCAGAGCAATTTCACTCATGTCCATGACTGACAATAACAAGATCTCACAGCACAACATCCCCATTAGGAAAAGATAAATGAGTTCCCTCATCATTCTCAACAATGATCAAGCAAAATCAGTCAAAAGCACCAAATTCCCTCACCCCTATCAATGCACCTGACCTTTCCTGGAGGTGCATCCATGGAAAGCTGAAAGGGAATCTTGTGCTGCACTGGTGAAAAGCAAAACTCAAGCCAATGTAAGACTTGTATAAGAAATGCTAATCATATTCTCGTTTATTACTCTTATCATTTAACTAAATATTAATGATGTTTCTCATAATCTTCCCCCAATTCCACAAGGAGGCATAAAAAGGTGCCATTTCCATAATGTACTGCTATATTCAAAGCAAATAATTATTAATTTGCTAAAGAAAAAATTCTACCAAAATAAGGCACTCATCTGGGCAGTAAGATTGACTTAAATTATGCTAATCTAAATATATATTTGCACAAGCCTAAGTAACATTTATTTAAAAACTGTGAAATATTGTATAACTTAAGTAAACATATTTATGTGGCTTTCTCACAACAAATTATCTAATAGTGTTGGAAAAAAAGCAAACTTGAAAATGCAGACATTTCCATGCCAATAATATTAAGATTATGAAAATAGCAAATGAGATTTAATATAAGCCCCCTGTGCTCCTTTGTGTTTGCTCATTTCACCAAAGCATGCATTCACTGAAAGGCAGAACCCATCATCTCTGTATCAGGCTTTCTGGATACTGTTAATTGATACAACACAATCAAAATTGCAGCAATCAATAGTATTTTGGAACCAAAAAAGCTTTTTGGTGTATTTATAGTAACAAAAAAACTCTGGGGGCTGGCAAAACCTTTCAGTGCACAAAAAGTACACTGTGGTCAGGGAAATGATACAGAAACAACCACTTCCCAAGATGATGTAGTACTGAAGAGAAGCTGGATGAAATACAAGCAAAAAATATTAAAAATTTATATTTACCAATAATCTGATGAGGAGATAAATGGTAAATATTGAAGGTTGACCAACTTCTAAATCAGAAGAAATTGAATATGTGCTGTAGAGCCTAGTTACTGCTGGTTTGTTACTTTTTCATTGCATTTTATTTACACTTTTCCACATTTTAAAGTGAGTGGCAAGAATAATAACTAAAATAGCCATTTTTAATACTAAGATAGTAATTTTTGCACTTAAAAAAAATACAGATTTCACTTATTTAGGAATGGAACAACCAATATGTTGTTTTCACAGAAAACAGATAAGCAGAAATATCTTGTAAAGCAATGACTTGCAGTTCTCAATACTAATTTTTCAAATTAGGTGTTATTTTGTGCCAATTGCCTTAACACAGCTGACTGTTTGATGCACACTAATTAAAGTAGCTAATGACTGGTTTTACACACTCTTTGAGGAGAACATCCATACTAAGTAGAAGAAAAATTTTACAGATTTCCAAGCATGCCTCCTTACAGAGACATAAGGAGGGGCCTAATCACAATGATTACCTTGAACAAACTCCTAAAGCCTTCTCTGCTGGAGAAATGTACAGGTTGCAGCCAGATGGGCAGTCAGTCTTCTCACAGATAAGAAGTGATAGGACAAGAGGAAATAGCTTCACGTGATGCCAGGAAAAGTTTAGGTTGGATATTAGGGAAAGCCACTGGAAGCACAGTCGAGCATTGGAACAGGCTGCCCAGGGAAGTGGTTCAGTCACCATCCCTGGAGGGATTTAACAGTTGTGGCATGTAGGGTTTAGTGGTGGGCTTAGCAGTGCTGAGTTAAGGGTTGGACTTAATCTTTCAGGTCTTTTCCAACTGAAAGAATTCTATGATCATCTTTACATCCAGGGAAATTAACCCATCTCTCAAGCTTACATGAAGAGCCCAGTCTAATGGCCAGCATTGACGGAGGGGGAGGCCTTTGTCCACATTCTCATGCAGCAACTACTAAACCATTCATGCACAACTCCAAAGGTTGCAGTGGAAAGTCAGCACTTATGGCTCTGCCTACTAAGGCAGATACCTTATTTTCTTCCAGCTAGTTGTATGCACATGGTGTCACCTTGGTCCCCAAAGAGCCTGTGCTGCTGTGAATGTTGTTTGTCTGTGGTGTAATAGCTGCATGCTGAGCAGAATGAAAGCAATCCTCTCTTCTCAGTAACCACTTCTTGTCAAAGGATGCCACGATTCCTATCTAGGTGTTATTAAATGTACAGTAGGTGTTTTCACTGCAGTATACAAGTAGTGTTTGCAATGACAGAAAAACACGATTATGGGTGAGATGATGGATAACAAATCCAGTTTTCTTTCCTTTATTTGGAATACTGCTTCTATAAGCTTGTCTGAAAGGCAATTTCTCTCCTTTCTACCTTGACCTATTCTGTGAAGCATGAAAGCAGACAGACAACTCTTTTGTGAACATCATCTCCTGAACAGTCTATTTGAGAGCCCAAAGTCTGACGGATTTCTACTGTCAATAACCTTATTCAATTACAGAACAAATAAGCTAATAGCTTACAGAAGTTATATCTCAAAAAGAGGTAACAGGAATGCATGCATGCATTTTCTTTTAGTGTAAACATTATATCCTGCTGGATTCTCCTCTTATTTGGACAAGGTAACTGTTTACAGTAGAGTTGAAAAATCTTTCTGTTAGGTAAAGAAAAAAAAATCATCAATAATGCACAGTCACTTTTCAGGATAAAAAAAATGAAGAATATTTGAGAAAAGTTAGTCTTACCCAGAAATTTACATCCTTTTTGTTTGTTTTGTTTTTCACACAGCTTTATTCCTGCTGTCAGTTTGCAGTGGGGTGCAATGAAATAGCTGGATACACCAGGCCTAAAAATCACCTCTTGGCACTGCACAGGGTACAGGAAAAAGCCTCTCCTGCACCTCTTTTGCTTCCTCCTCTGCAGGGAGTGGCTTTGCAAAAAGCCAAAATAAAACATGATGCATCTCTGCCTTCAGCAAATATGTTTTATTCTTTTCTTCTCATTTTTTGGTTAATCAAGACCAGTAAGAGAAATGGCAAATGGAGTTTTTGTAAGAGAAGGCATTAATATATCGTTATCCAACAAATAAGCACCTCCATTCATTGCACTGCTGCTATAAACATACCATCCATTATCTTACATTTTCCTAAGTCTGTACACTCTCATTTAATGTTACCTCAGGTACTCACAGAAAGTTTTGCAATTCAGAAAGTTAAAGAATGTTTCTTTTATATTCCTTCACATACCATCAAGCCCATTATGATGGCTGTAGTTTCTTTTCCCCAAAATACTTAATGAAGAGTGATTGGAGGGTGCAAGCAGTCGCTTTGCACTTGGACTTTGAAGGCTTGGTGTTGACCTGATTACATTGGGTTTCACAGCAGGATGTATCTCTGTTTGAGACAAAAGAGAGAGAGAGAGAGAGAGAGAGAGAAATGATATCTACTTGATTTTAAAATAACTAAAACAATCTATTCCACATATGAAATTTACTTCTGATTTTCAGTGAAAAGAAAGTTCTTTCTGCATTTGTGTGTTTACAGGACCTTGAACAACATGAGTCTTCATACACAAAGTAAGGTATCCTCGAAGTAAGAAAAATCTATTTCACTTCAGAGTACCCAAGTTCAATTCCACATTGCAGATATGTAAGGATTTGAGGTTGAAGAGCTAATAAATACAAAACAGTCTGAAATGGGTGTGTTTATATTTTCCCACACTTTCGAGGTTAGTATTGAAGCTACACACCCACAAGTTTTAGCAAGCAAATAAAAGCATTTACTGTAGTGAAACCACCTCAATACCTCAAACTATTCAGTATTTTCTGTCACAATAACAAGCTTTAAGGGATATTCCCAAACATCAGTCACAAGGCACAGGAGTCAGGGGCCAGGCAGCACTGTAGGGATCTGCAGCTAGAACCACCCCAAAACTGCAGTGGGAAATCTTCCATTCAGAGTAATTACTGGGGAGCTTCAAACATCCCAGAGTATCTGTTTCATGGAGCAAGATTATTTTGGAGAAGGAGGAATAAAGAGGGTAAGAGGCAGCAAAGCACATCTGGCCAGCACATCTCAGAGTGTTTGCCAGGAGCTGACACAGCTGCATGGAAGTCTCTCAGTTATCTGCCAGATAGAAGTGGCAAACAGGAACCTTGGCTGAGTTTGCTGGTCCCTCACTAGGAATTTGCTGAACCAATTAATTAATTCCCATCACACATTTGGCTTCAAAATGCCACCACTGTGTCCAGCCTTGGGTAGACCGAGACTTGTGTGGGAAGTCAGCTGCCCGAGGGCAGGTCCCATCCCTGTGACACAGCCACAGGGCACCAGCTGCTGGCACTGTGCAGGCCATGAGGAGCTTGCAGCCCAATTACAGCAGCCCTCTGATGACCCCAGGCAACAGAAGCAGCTGAGAAGGCAGAGGGGCTGGGAGTCAGATCAGCAGAGTCAGCTGCCCAAGGCAAGTGAGATCAGAACACAAAAATTAAGTAATTTCTCATTTCCAGCCCAGGTTTACGCCTCCTGAAAAACGCTTCTTATTTATAAAGTGGAGCACAGAAACTGAGAAGATGCAAAATCTACAGTGAGACCAGGTATCCAAGGAGAAGCCTCTCCAGCCTCTGCCATCCATGGCTATCTTTCAGAAAGAGAAACCACTGCATAAAGTCAAAGCCCACTGCAATAGCATGTTTTTCCTCCTTCAGGAATGCTCCAAGTCTGATTCCAAGTGCTCGCCTGCCCTGCCTGGAGCTCTCGGTCTCATGGCCTTGGCCAGGCTGTACTGGAACAGTGTGCCAGGAGGAGACAATGCCAACAATTGTTACACTGGAAAAGACTTTGCTGAATTGTTCACCACTGGTTTGGTTGGGGCTCACAGTCACACTCTCCAAGCATGAACACCCTCTCACCAGCAGCCTCAAGAGGGCCAGATAAGAAACAGTAGGGCAGAGAAATAGATGGGCAAGCATTAGAACAGCAGAGAGGGATGGCACAGGTAACCAGTCACTTCAGGGCAGAGCTCTAGATTTGACATCAACAAATTTCCCACCACTTAATTAGGTGAGAACATTTTACTGCTGTTCACTGCAGAATTCATCTGCTTTTCATACCAAAAAGATTTCATGGCATGTCCCATTTTTCTTGCTATGGGGAAAAAGCGTCTCATATTTTGCTTTTTTACTAAAATGGGAACAGAGACATGCTTAATGCTATGAACACCACTGATTGCTAAGGCAAAACTCTAAATTGAAATAGAAATGCTTGTGCTGTTTGCTGAAGGTAATTGGAATTTGCATTCTGAATTGTTCATTTAGCAATCTTTTCCAATTTTCTGAAGGAAATGGTATATTTTCAGGGCTAACAACACTAAAATGTTATTTTATTTGCCAAAGAGCTCCAGCAGCAACCACAAAAATCTCAAAAGTTGCATCAACATATGAGAACTCCATCTCCTTTCATATACAACCTACAGGAGAGGTAATTTTATATCTTCAAGGTAAGCAAACTGTTGAGGAAGGAAGCATTTCCTTCCTTCAGCTTTTATTCAGGTCAAAAGTCACTAATCCTCAGTTTACCACAAAGGCTGTCTTTTCTCTTTCTGCAGTAGAGGAAGGTAGCAAGACCAAGCTCTAAATTTAAGTTCTAGAAAGGAACTCAGTCAAACAGCCAGGACCACTTCCTAATGGACTGAATCCTTCCTGCACAGACCTTTACATCTTACTTCACTCCTCCACTACATATAGACTTGCTTCAAATATTTTTTCATATTTTAGACCAGCACTCTATAACCAGCTGCCTCATCACACCCAAGCAGAGTAACAGGGCATTTCAGGGGTTTTGCCTATTATCCCTTCATATAATTGTATTAGGGAATAATAGTTCTTCTGGTCTTATCCTTGTTCTATTGCCTAGGACTTCACTGAAAATTTTCTAGCCACCAGCACCTTATTCTAACTCAGAGAACTGACTATATAGCATTCAAATTATCCCATTAACCACATAAAATATAACCACTCAGCCAATAAATAAAAGCCAAAAAAAGAATAGGAGGTAGAGATAATGCTTCAAAAACATATAAGGAACCTGTTTTATAGAACCAGATTTCCACCTCAAGCAATAACAAAATTAAAAACTTCTCTCTTTTCCACTATCAGTAGTGTAAAAAAATAAAAAACCCAAAATAAACAAAGAGAAGCTGAAGTCTTCTACTGAATAAACATTCTGGATTCCAGAGGGGCTTAGGCAGCTGCACCTTTATCTCACCTCATCTCCTCAACATGTATCCCAGCTGGAGTGTTAGCCTGGTTTCCTCAAAAGTAGGAGGTAATATAGGACATTTAATTAGCCTGGGGTTCACCTTAGCTTTGTTTTGGGGAACACAGTGATGACTGATGAGAATACAAGGGATTAGACCCAGCTCTTGAGAGGACAGGGCATAAATTTAATGCTTGTTCTACCTCACCTGTGGAACCTGCAGCCAAGATGCAGAACAGGGATTAAGGGAAGTGATTACCCAGGATGTGCAGGGCACTGAAATCTTCTCTGCCTTACCAGAAAGGGTGAAAGCAGTAGTGCCCTGACACACTGTTAATCGTATGCCAATAAATATCTGTGAGAATAGCATAGCATGAATCTTAAAAAGAAAACAAATGTCTCCTATACAAGTTATGACATGATATATAATACTAATTTTTATGAGAAAAGTAAACAAGATTTACTATTTACTGAAACTGCAAAAATACCAAATAAAAAAGATCACAAACAAACTAAACTAAAAAAATGACACCAAGCTACATGGCAAACAAAAAGCCATTTTCCAGCCATCCCTAAAAAGCTAATTCAGATGAATATATTTAACTGCACTGGGCTCACTTCATATCTCCATAACATACATTATTTTCCTCAGCTGTAGTGAGATACCTTTACTTCCCAGAGTCAAATATTAAGCAGACTCTACAGATACCTGGCATATCTTAGCACTGTTAATCTTCTACCAGACCTTCATGTAAATTCACAAAATACTGTCTGACACTGTTTGTCCATTTACTCACATTAAACTTACAGACTCAGACTCCCAGAGGGGTCAAGACAACTCCTCAAAGGCTACATAACATGGCACTAGCATGTGATGTCTCCTAAGTTAACCCACGTTACCATTTCCTCTTTAGATGCACAGACAGGTCAGCCAGATGAACCATTCCCTGTCCAGCTTCCCCCCCCTCATAACCACAACACCACCAAGTCAACCAAAACAGTCCTTTCAGCACACATAACACACAGAGCTAGGAAGTCTGTAGGAGATTATCCCAGGCTTTTTCTTGAACTCCAGGGCAGGAGGAATCAAAATTCAGTGAGAATGCCATTAATTTCTCATTACTCACATTCTTGAAGTTAGTATTGCGACAAAACTGATGCCCTGGAAGAATAATTGTAACTACATTAATAGCCAATTTATATTTCAGTAAGGCAAGAGACTTACTGTTTACTTTGATCTAATACAGAAAAAAATCCTCCTGGTGACTGAAATTATGAGCAAAACATCTAGACTGAGCTCTATGCTCAGCTGTAGAGTTCACTTCTGTAGAACAGGATTAATACACAGTAGAATTGGTCACTGCTCCTCTGATCAATGGATTGATTTCCATATTCATTTGGGGATTAACAGCCTCTGGGTTACCACAATTCTTATGTAACTGTGCAAATATTTAACAGTCACTGATGGCTCCTTGCAAGGAATCACTATTACTAGAATTTTTCCTCTCCCCATTAACTTAAGGGTTCATTTTCCTCTTAGTTGTGAACTCAGTACACATTTCATTCAACCTTTTAAACTTAGGTCATCACACTAAGGTATGTGTCTTAGTGTGGCTGAGGACCCTTGCTTTTAAGTAAAAAGTAGTAATGCAAATGGAAACAAAGGGCACAGTACAGCAGCCCTGAGCATAACTGAGTACCTGCCCTTTGAGCAGCTATCCTTTTTATTTAGACAGCCAGACTATTTTTCACATTCTAAATCAGGTTAACTTAGACACTTTAAACCAGTATCAGGAGGACTTCTGCCTATATCCTGCACGTTCAACCATGTAGTTTTGCAACTCATAGTGGACCACCATTCTTATTAATTTATTAACTTCAGAATTTTTTTCTTGTTACTAAAAGCATAAATCTCTCTTTCTGTGCATACCACATGATGAAGCTTCAGTACACACAGAATGTTTGGTTTGTTATTCTCTGGAGGCAGATACGCACCTAAATACCCAATGATACATGACAGTGGTTTTCTGGTGCTTTTTATCTTCAGAGGATTCCCAGCAAGTTCACAATGTCGATCTGCATCTGAGAATTTTAAAGAATAAAACTCAGTTTAAATATTTTACTATTACAAACAGATTTAGGACACACCAACCAGTTTCTGACTTGCATCTTTAACACAAATTTATTTTTTTCTTTTAGCACACCTTTTATATTCTTTTTTTTAATCAATACTTCTAATCATGGATATTTAAAGACAGGACATGTCCTCATTCATGCAAGTGATGTTGTGATTTTTTTTCTAAGTTGATGTGTTAACACCAGTTAGATTATAGTTTTTGCTTACAAAATCTTTCTGGAGACAGTCAGGCAAATGAAACACAGATGAAAATATGAATACTAAAAGAAATACAGTTTTGGCTATTAAAAATTATTCACATTGAATTATTTTTTTTTCCTACAAGCTTCTCTGTCTCTAAATGGGGGTAATATAGAGCTAAGAATTTAAAGCTGGGACTACTGATTTCTGTCATACAACACTTCACTGTAAACTTTTCAATGGAATGGTCAGTTGTAACCAAGTATTACACAGCTCAAAGTTCTCAAAGATTGTAACTTTCTGCTAAGTACATGAAAACTAGCAGTGCATCAACTGCCTTAAATTTCCTGCTGCTACTGTGAACACACACAAGCAGAGATTCCATCCACGTGTCCCAAACACAAAATGTTAACATAAAGAGGCTCATGCTTAGACAAATGAAGTTGGTCAACGTAAGGCAAAAATTCACAAGGCACTAGGTTTCAGTAAATAATTTCAAGATGACTGGAAATAGACTACCTCTTTTTTCTTTTTAATTATTCAGAATGTTTGAGTTATCTGTCTTCCAAAAACACATAAAACCCCTCATATAGAACTTCCAGTATCTCCAGAATACAGGTATTCTGTTCTGGACAAAACAGCATTCACACAGTGATTATATAGATTGGGAGTGCTCTCAAATGGAACAACTTCTCACAAATACCTACATAAAAGTTTTACAGAAAGGACACATTATAGATTATAATTGCAACTCCTCCCTTTGTTTCACCAAACTCTTCCTATTTGCTTCACTTCAGCACATGAGACAGAGTAAACAGTAAGAGGATAAGACACCATGTAGAAGAATTTACAATCCCTTTATCTATGCTAATCTAGATCTGTGCAAACACCATGAAGATCATGAATGCACAGTTATGACTTGAATAAGTATTTCAGATGTTCAAGATGTTTTCAGTGCAGAAGACAAAGCACAATTTACTTTAATAGACTAGGGAATCTACCTAAAATTCTGGAAATACCAATGGGCTTCAAAGGTTATAGAACCCTAATGCTGAGTACATGAAGTACTTCATTATTTTTTTCTTTATCACGAAACACACTGTGTTAAGGGAAAAAAAAACCCAAAAAGCACAAACCTGGTTCCTGGAATATTTTTAATATTGCAAAACACCTGAAATATTTTATGTGGAGGAACAGAATGATACGTGTCCACTGACTCCCTCCGTAAAATAAGCAGAGGCTACACAGTGTTTTGTAGCTACCTTGAGAACAGCAAAGCATCACCTAAGAAGAAATTAGCAAGAAAATTCTCCATCTACATGTCTTCACTGTAAAAAAAGATATTGCATCATGGAGTGGTATTTATATGCTGACTGGGGATACATACTGCAAGAAGAGCACAATTTTCATGCTTGAGATAAAGCATGTTCATCAAAGGTGAGTATACCAAAGCACACCTATCTATCAAAAGAGTTTAACATGTTTAACAGCAGCAAACTTCAATCCACAATAAAGTGCTCCCATAAAAAGTATAATAAAGTTTACGATTTTTATGCAGAACACAGAGAAAAATACAGAAGTTGTATTGTGCATCATTCTCAAGTGTACAACCAGAGAATAAAAATTGGGTAGGAAGTTATCAAAACTCTCAAAATTTAAAGCAAGTCCTAAACTCAAATATGATCTTTTATATGAGCAATAAAATTCTTGGTAAAATTCTTGATCAGTGAAATAGTGGAAGCTATGAGGAAAAAAATACATTTATAACAAGAAGGAGTCTTAAATTTCTTAGTGTATTTTTCAAACAGCAAAACCAGAAGGTGTGCTGGTGTCTGTAGCAATAGATTATGAGGTCGGAGGAAAATACACAAGAAAGATAAAGGCACAGGAGAAAAGCCAAATGCATTCCTTGTATCCCTGTTCATTGCAGAAGCACTTAAAGCTCACTTCCAAAATACTTTCATGAGGAAAATAAGAGAACTGTGTCACACTGAAGCATCCATAGGAAATGTTTCAAAATACACTAGTTAATCCGTAAAACCAAGTTAGCAGGACCAGGTGGAAATCATCCAAACTTCAGAGCAGACACGCTGCTGGTGTTTAATGAATGCTTAAATGGTCTTGGTTCAAGAGAACAAAAACAGGGCAAACGTGATAACATTCCTCAGTAAGTAGGTCTGCAGAATGGCAAAAGGTTGCTTTATTAATAGAGGCACATGGTTAAATTTGGAAGCATCAAGGGAGCCAACAAAGACCTTGGAAGGGAAAACAAGTTTAACGTGTTCTCGTTACTCAGCGTGCGTCCTTGCAGCAGGGAGGAAGATGGCGTGCTGGGCCTCAGGAGCGCGCACCAGGCCGGGCAGGGCAGGGAGGTCACCTCCCCTCGCTCCACGGGAAACAACGGCCAGAGCCCGCGTTCAGCTCCGGGATCCCCACCTCGGAGGAGACGTGGGCACACGGGAGCAGCAGCAGCAGCAGCTGATGGAGACTCTCCAAGCTGACTGGGTGTTTGAGTGCAGGACATACAGGGCCTGGGGAAACTGGGCCTGGGCAGCCTTGAGAGGAGGACAAGGGGACGCCTGGGTGGCACCTGCAGCCTCCCGGTAGCAGAGTGCAGAGACACTGAGCTCTCAGTCCCTCTTCAGCGGAACACAGTGACAGGAGAACACACTGTTCCTCTCTGTGCCAACAGCCAGGCTGGGACACAGGAAATTTTTAAATATAAGGATAAGGTTATTTACTCTGAGGTTGATCAAACACTGGAGCAGGTGCCCAGAGAAGTCATGCAGTCTCCATCCTTGGAGGTATAAAAAGCTCACCTGGCCAAAAGGCCCATGAGCATGTAAACCTTATGCAAGAGGTGGGATTAGAGACCTCCAGGGTCCCTTCCTACTTACATGTCCTGTAAGCCAGTAAAAGTCTCACAGGCCTTCCAGGATCCTCTGATGGGACCATGACCTGTCCACATACAGCTGATCTGGCATCCAATTTGGCATTTCAGAGAGCTTTTACCAAACAGGGTCACCAAAGATCTCTGCTGTCCAGCTGTTACGGGGGGAAGAGGCTTTTTCAGGAATTAGCACTTTATTAAAATTAATTGTCTATGTAATCCCCAAATGATCTCTTCTGTTGAACATATAAAAGGGCAGGAAAAGAGGTGATTAGAGTGCTAAAATTTCCCGATAAAAAATTTCTGTGCATAATCAAAGCTAAAACTGATGGTTAGGATCAGCATCCTATGAAGGATAGGAGTAGCATCAAGCAATACATGTAAATGAATTCTGAAGGGGTAAAATAACTGTAATATATAGATATAATGATGGATTCTACACCATCACTAAGAAGAAGAGTATTTATGGAGTCAGCATCAACAGCTAAAAATATCTAGACAATACTAAAAAGAAATCAAAATCAGCATGTTAGAAATCATGATGACAGGAAAATAGAAAACACGACTTTAAAAAATGATGGGAAATCTGCATCTTCAACTGTACACCATTTGGGGCACCATAACCCTAAAGAGGATACAGCACAACTGGAAAAATTCTAGGAAATAGCACTACAAACCAGAGTGTGAAGCACATTTTTTATAAGGCTTTAAAGCTGCTAAGCATGATGACTGATGCGGGCATTTCAGAGGTGAATGAAATCAGTAATGCCAAGAACATGATAACAAGTTACGCTGTGCTTTCAGATATGGAAGTATTTTCTAATTATTTCCTTTTTTAAAAAACTAGATTTGTAGGTCTCTTAAGCTTAGAGACTTTCATTAGCAAGTTATTTTTCTCTGACATTCCATCATAACTCTGTAAAAATGCATATCATCTAATGAATGTACTGTATTCCCTGAATTGTATTCTTTTTAGAAACTCTGGAAAAAAATAATATGCTATCAATTATTTTGCTGGCTATTAAAATATGGCACAAATTGCATTCAAAGGTAACAACAGAAAAAATATCTTCATCCTAGATACAGCTAAAACGCTCTTCCATAGCTATCAAAATCAAGGATGCAAAACATAGTTTATGAACCAATATGCATAAATGCTACTCAATTCAGATGAATGGGTAGCTTCATGTCAGTAAAATACAAACTTTATGCTTACAAAGACAAATCAGTAACATTTTACATATTCTACTCTTTCCACTTGCCTTTGTTTAACGAAACTAGATCACTAGCAAGTACTATGTACCACATTTGTTAATAAATCTGAGGGTTTAAATGTGTGATAAATTTTCATCATGATCAGTATACCCATTTCCAGGTAACTATACATATATCATACAGATAATATATTACCGTGCACTGAAAACATTTTAACAATCAGTTCTATGTAGACAACATACAGTAATACAGATTGGAATTACTATAATTAATACATGCACTTATAGTGATAAAGCTATATCCAAACAATGGGGGAAAAAAAAAAAAATCCCTCAAAAGTCTCCCTGTGCTGAAGCAATAATGTTTACAGACACATGGCTCACTGCCAGGCATTTCTCAACCTGCCTGTGAGCTGCAAACAGATCCAGCCTCATCAGTGACTGCTGAGAATGCTCACTTTGCTTTTCTCTAATTAGGAGACCTTCCCCAGACAGGATGGTCTTAACTTTCTAAAAAAACATGTAATATATTCAAACTAAAAAGGAGGTAGTGTTACACCACTTAGACCAAAGCAGTTCACCAATTCTAATTATTCCTGAAAAACCATCAGACAAGTTTATTGTCACCAACCACAGTGAGTCTATTAAGTTCAGGCAGAACAAAGTTTGAGCTTTCCATGATGGGCTGTGCTCCTAGCAGGAGGTGCTGTGCCTTCTCAGCCTCCTGGTGGCCATCCTGAGATTGAGCTGGGATGTAAAAGCATCATCTCCACTACCTCCTGCTGGCATCTGAGCAGGGGTCATGCTACAGGCTCCATTAATGAGGAAAATCTAATTCTCTGCACTACCTGAAGGAATAAAGAACACAGAATAGGACCTTGTTTTCTGCCAGTGGACATAATGGGCTGAGAGAGAGGACGTGGGAGGATGTTCAAAAAGAGAAAATGCTCTGTCAAAATGTGGTTTTCACCTAAAAGATATTTGGAGCTTACGTTATCATTCCCAGAGGCTTCCATGATCCTCCAAGATACCAGAAGTAGCTGCAGATGCATTCAGGCACACAGGTGGAATGCAAAAAACAATTTATTTTATGACTGAGCTCTGACACTCTTGTTCAGATCTTCTCAGATCTGGGAATCAGTTTCATTTACAACCTGGCACTTCAAAATATTGCACAAGTGGGCATAAAACCTGGAATGCAGCTGGGATAAGTGCCCTACCAATCCTTCTGTCATCAGATTTTATGGTTTCTGAGTGTTGTTATGGTGCCTAATGCAATATGGTTGGGAAATGCAGTTCCATTTTCAAGAACTGTTTTGGCACACAGAGTCTCAGGTGAGTCTGACAAAGCATCTGAGCAGCAAGTAGATTCAAGTTTCAGCAAACCAACATGGAAAACAAATTCTAAATCAGTTCTTGGGCATTTTAACCATCTCATGCCATAGCACATCGTGGGTGACCTGGTACTCTGGCCAGGTTACTAGTTAAGCATGACTGTCACATTTCTAACACCAACACAGATATTCATTCAATACTGTAATTACTCAGTGGATCTAGCATGGGAAATCATTACTGCTAATTGAGGATATTTAAAAATCTAAAAATTACTTGCTTCAAGATAACCTTAGAAAAGGATTCAGGGCCTTCTCAGGAAAAAGAGAGACTATTTCCTTATAACATTAAAATCTACAGAATGCACTGAGAACAGGTCACCAGATGTTAGTACAGGAATAAAACTTAAAACCTTTTTTTTTTTCTTTACTTTTTTGCCTTTACTAGAGGAAGAATATGGCAATGACAATGCAGGTAAGACCACTGTAATGATTCCACAGACAGAGGAACCATGTTTCTGCCTGAAACAGAACATGGATTGTGGATGTGCGTGTGTGTGTGTACAAAGAAACATAAATTAGTTGAGGTACATAATTTGGTTTCCACTGTTAGAGCATCATTTTAATGCTATGTTCTCAAAACCATTAACAATTGTAACTTTTTTTCTTCAACCTATGTTAGGTCCAACCAGGAAGCATCAGAATTCAGAGACAAAATCACAAGGTCCAAAATTTGCTTTAAGCAAAAAGAATAATGAAAGAAAAGACACAGGGGAAAAAAGAAGTCTTTCTAGTCTTGCAGTTAATCTGACGTAGAACTCTTTCACTCAAAGAAGCAAAGAGAACTCACAGCACTGCCAGTGTGAAGCAAGAATGACTATTTCCTGCTGAAAAGCTCAGCTTTTCACTCCTTTCTTTTAAGATTGAACACATTCTAGAATGATGATTAACAGTTGGATGAAATTTTTTTCTTCTGTCTTTTCTTCTCCTTAAACAAAAGTTTCATCTTTTGAAATATTTTACTCCAGTGAGAGAGAAAAAACAGGGATATGGAAAGTAGAGTTAAGGCTCAAGTGAACTTCTAAATTTTTCTCCATGATTCAGCAGAAACATAAATTTAAAGGTACAATACCCTTCTCTCAGAAAGTAATTTTTATTTTGGATTAAGGATTAAAAATATAACCCTAATCCAGCCTTAGACATACTTCTTCCATGAAGAACTCATTTTATTCACACAGTCAACACATGGTTTCCTGAAATCTGGAAGTTGTTCCAAACTTGCATGGATTTTAAAAAAGAAAGAAAATGGCCAAAAGAACAACTAAAAAATTAGACAAGAACAATGAACAGAAATATCCAGCAAGTTTTGGAGTACTGCAGAAGTAGGTGAAAAGTTTTCACATGCATAATGGCTGGTCTTAAAGTACATAAAGGGAAAATAATTACTCAAAATCAGATTTTAAGCCTCCACAGAGTGAATTTCTTATAAACAATGCAGACATCATCTGCATCCCAGATGAGTATGCCAGGAAAACATTTAGTGTTAATCTAGTGAACATGGCTATAAACCCCACATTTAATGATCTTAAAAGTTCTCTTCAATTCTAATACAATTGACAGTACAATGAGCCAGCATGGCTCACCCTGGAATACCAAGCTTTTGCTCCAAGAACTGTATCTATGGAAGACTGAGATTCCCAACCAGACAGTGTGAACATTAAACCAATGTGCCCAGTGCAGATACAAAAGGTGTTGAAATATTCAGTGACTTTGCAGAAGAATTTACACACATATTCAGGTAAAGACGCTTACTGTCACCATCTACAAAAACTCAGAGCCTTTTATCATACTACTAGAAATTCATCAGGTCTTTATGTTTTGGCTATAAAAAAAACAAGCATCATACTGAATCTTATTTAGAACTAAAATTTAAAGCCAGAACAGAGAAAAACCAAAATGATGCAACTATGATATAATAATGAACGTGGCTATCACCACCGTCACAGTGACAAGAAATGTATTGCATACCACATTTAAATTATTATGAAACCCCAGTTCTTGATTTTTTGACCAATCCCATTGGAAAAAAGTGCAACATGTACAGATCTATATGTTCTGCTCAGCAAATGAATAATAAACAGGAAAGCACACTTTTTTCATGCTGCCTAGTAGGAAGAACGCACATTGTGGCACTGATTTTCCCCTCCTGCCCCCCATTTTTATTAATGTCAATTTTTGAAAATGCGTGAGGTAATAGTTGTCCCCTTTTTAATTAATTTAAAATGTTTCCACAGCCTAAGATCTGTTCAAGGCAACTGGACTTTATCTAATGTGTCAGTGATACGCTGGACAAATGAAAAAATAAAAAAAAAAATAAAAAAAAAAAGCAAAAGCTTATAGACAAGAAATGTTTATTGAAAAAGAAAATAAAATTAAAAGACAAAAATGGGTGGGAAGCACAGCACACAGAACTAAGAATTAAAAAAACATCTTACATTCTGCCTTAATGGCAGCACAGTTAATAGGGACAAAGGGACGTCGTGCTGCCTGCCGCAGCCGGAGGGTATTTTTGCAGACCTGGCGGGCCAGTTTTGTCCAACAGGTGGTGTGGAGAAAGAAAGCCTGCCGTGTTTTCACCGCCGACTTTGGACTGCCCGTGTTACGGACCGGAGTGCCCTGCGTGGCCTGCCGGGACAGGTGAGTTCTGACATGCGATTCCTAGGGGAAGGAACAAACACAGCATAACACAGACGTCCGAGTCACAGCGCTCAAACATCCCCAAGCTGCACAAACCCACAAGAACAAGCAAATAACACGTCTAAGCACTATACAAAAAACAGGCCTATATAGGGAGCCATAAGCCGCAGAGCAGATAACTCTATTGAAAATGGATATATAATGCCATCCTAAATGAGATAGTGTATAGTATATTTAATATTTCAGAGAAAACACACCATTCGACTGACAAAATAGTATTTGTACACCAAAAATGCAGGAAGCACATGCTTGTTTATACAAGAAGTAGTCAAATAAAGATATGGCAAGGCCTGAGTACTGTACAGTTCTACTTAACACAGGAAAGGATTAATAAACTGAATTTTCTAATGCCAAAGTGGAATACATACATAAAAAATATTCCATTATATAATCATATCACAGCAGTTGTGTGAAAACACCATGTTTTGTTTCAGTAAAGTTTGTCTACACAATCCTACCTCTGTAGGTTGGCTGGAAGACAGTTTATCGTCATCTGTCTGTGTGGGCATTTTCAGGCCACCGTATTTCTTCCAATAAATCCAGCAAGATGCACACAACCTACATTGCATATTGGGAGGGCCCCAAGAATACCATTGGTGAGACTGCGGAGCTAAGGAGGAGAAAGCAGCACAGGTGAACTGGTGCAGGCTACATTCTGTATTACATTCTGTATTACATAATGCTGTAATAGATGACAATATATGGCCATAACATATGCCAGTATCAGAGCATTGTATGGATAAATATTTAGTTGACACAGAAAGTAGGAACTTGAGCTGTTTGTTGCTTTATTTTTTGACAAAAGCACTACAGAAGTCAACTCCAAATGGAAATTTTGGAAATGTTTTTATAATGAATTTCAAACCAGGGACTTAATATTGCTGAGATATTCTCCCAGGGGACTACCAGAAAAAAAAACCAAAAACCCAAAACCAGAAAACCCACTATTTCTAATTTCACCCTGGAAGACAAGCTTATTAAGTAGGATTTTGTATCTGCTCTCATGTAACCTCTCTTGAAGGCTGCTGTTTCAAACAGTCCAACAAAAATTATCAGAAACACACAAAACACTAGAAAGAAACAGTAGTTCTCCCCATGTTCCTCAACAACAGAGAGGGGAAAAATACCCCAAAACCATTCAAAATAAAAAGACCAGCTCAAAAACCCTGCAGTCTTTAAAGGAAAACCAAAAATAAATTTGACTCTAGCTTTGTGAAGGTAAAGGAATAATATGTCAATGCCATCATCATCATCATCATACTACTTAAACTTTCTGTGCTTTATAAATTGTTAAAAAAATCATAAAGTAATTTTAATACTTTAATTAATATACTGAAGGCAACTCTAACTTGAAAATAATTTCTGCTATAAGAGTAATTGCAAATTATCCTCTGTCACATGCTAACAAAAGCACATACCTTTTTTTTAACAGCACATATTAAGATTTACCCAAACTCCTGAGTCATTAAAAAAAAAATAAAAATTACTTACTATAGCAGCTTTCACAAGCCCGACCTATTACTGTGGCTTGTGCCTGGTAAGAAGCTCCCATTGCTCCATTGACTGCAGCAGGTTTCCCATTGTTGCTGGATATTTGATTGGGATTTGGTTTATTGCTTTACATAACATTTTTTAAAAGATGAAAAGAAAAAAAAAAAAAAAAGATTGTTTTATTAACTGGTTAGCCAACATGAAAACAAATAATCTAATTCTGGAATTCTGATGTGTGCTGACAACATCTATAAAATCTTCTCTAAACAACAAGAATAATTTTTGTACTCCTCCATTATTTTCAGCATTGTCAGACACTTGATACGTTAAGAGCTGCTCTGATACTCCAATTTACAGCTCTTTAGTGGGCTCACATGGTCTAAGCCACTTGGCAAGCTCATAAAAGACCAAGTCTCAGGGTCAAAGCATTAACAAAGGTCTGACACAACATGGAATTTAAGAAGGTGGTTCTAGGCAACAGATCAGGCTTTACAAGTCGGGGAAAGACTTTGGGTGAAGTATAACAAGAGTAGCAAGAGTGCCTTTAATAATACTACAAGGCTGTTCATCCCAGGAAAGCATCAAACAACCTCCTGCCTGAAAAAGAGGTACACACAGTAATACAAATGTCTTATAACCATGGCAAAACTCACCCATATATCTGGTTGTTCTGTCTCATTTCTTTTCTAAACTACTTCCTCTCTGAGAAGGCTGACTTAAATGTTTTTGGATATTTCTGTTTCACTTTTTTAATATTATTACACTATTATTATATTGTAATTATTGTAACTTCTAATACTTCAGTGAAGTAGGACTTTACAGGTCATTTTTTCAGAGAGCATTAATTTACTCCTCACTAGGTTAAGTGCAATATTTCCAGAGTTTCAACTCTGTGAGTCTTAATTACCCTCAATACAATGCGAAGCTGGATACATTGATGCCTAAGATAATTATTTGTCACTTTAGGTAGCATAAAATATATTCAAGAAATGTTAAAATGACAATTGAAGAAACCTTTGCTGTATCAAGTCTCTATTTCAAATGCCAACAAGTCTGTCTCATGCCTTGTCCTTTTTCACTTATCAGCAAGAGACAATTTTACAATTTCCACATAGTCTTTATCCTGGGCTCAAGGTACAGGAGAAGAGATTGAAAGACAATTAAGCCTTCCACATTATGATCTGTTGCTTAGCTACCTTTCAGAAAAGCCATTAATTGAAAGGGACTCTTTGGTATTAAGGACAGAACCTTGCATTTACAAGAAAAACCTAATGATCAAGTTCAAAAAGGTACTCAGCTCTGAGAATCAATTCTACTCAGATTTCAAATGCAATAAATTAGTCTTGAGGCAGAGCATTTAGAAATCCCATGACCACCAGAGATATCAAAAACTTGAGAAGTCCTACCATCCTTCTACTGTTGACTAGGGGTTTTGTTTTGAAATGGAGGCAAAAGACAGGCAGTAAGATAAAAGCGCAAAAATCCCACGTTTTGAAACACATTTTGTCATCCAATACAGCTGGTCCCTACTGTGAACATATTGAAAATCTGTAATTGTTCACATGGACCAAGGAAATTAAATTGAAAAAGCATAATGTAAAGACTGAGCACCTTATGGTTTTCCTATAGCAGCTTCTCATCTGAGAAGATTAGGGAACACTCATACTAGAGTTTCTACCTTTTTGTTTAAACAGTGTTATTTTTACTAGACATGTGAGCTTCAAAACCCACAAATTTTGTTCTAAGATTAAAATAATTAATTTAACAGTCTGCTGCTTTCATTGTTACATCTGTTTAAGAGAGAAAAGCCTGTATGAAATCTGGAAATTAAACACTATTGTATGCAATTTATACAAGCCATCAACAATCTCTGCAAAGTACTTCCTTTGGTATTACATTCTTCTGTTATACAAACATTCATAACAATGGGAAGTTCATATATAAGTAAACTGAGTATACCCACAGAAAGCTTAGAAAAAAGTGATTTTTAATCCTTTCTCTTGTCATAATATTGAGGAAATGATGAATATGAAGGAGGGATTTTATCTTTTTTTCTGCAAACCACATGTTAACAGAAGCAGATATAGCATCCAGTTTAAAACCAAAAGAAAGATTAAAAACCCCTCAGAACAAAACAAGATTGTATTAACAGCATGTGGTCATAGATAGAAGGTCTGGGGCCTTGTGCTACCTTTAATTCAGACCCAGAATATCTCTTATCTCTAGATGAAGAACAGATTTTATCACCCAGATAAAAATGTAATGGGAAATTATCTGATTTTATTTTATGTAACTACATTACCAACTGCTTCTATTTTGAAATATTGCATTTACGTAAATAAGAAGTGTAGTGCTACAGGGATTTGGAAGAGATTATTTTGGAAAAACTGCTTTTTAAATTAATAGGCTCTTCTTGTATGTGAAGAGTCCCCACGTAGCACTTGATCAGCCTTTGAAAAACTTCTTATTACAGACAAAAAGATTGCAGGTCAAGAACAAGAGATCAGTAAATTAAGAAGGTTTCACTTAAGAGCTTTTTAGCATTTTCTGATCATACCTCTGTATATAACAAATCCTGTGAAGTAACCATTAAAAAGATGACTAGGAAAATACCATGCATGTTACTGTTTCAATTTTACCTGTGTATTACTCAGAAAAATGACATTGTTGTTATACTCACTAGGTGGGGATGTATACTTGTTTCAATTTACTTTCTGCTTCAGCTGCTTTCAGACGTTTCTAGTTAAAAAATTAACACATAAAAATATTTTATTACATTACAGTACGGCATTTCATTAAACTGTACACAATACATCTTTAAATTATTTCTATTTTGTGATTTCACAAGAGCCTCCAAAACAAGTGTAGAAATCTACACGATAAAAAACATGAAAAACAAGTTATAGTTTTTATTATTAGTTTGAAAACATAATATGCTGTCCTTCCCAGTAAAACTCACAGTCCTCACATATGATAATAAAACTGTAAAAATGACAGTAACAGTTTACATAAATTACATCTATATAAATATGTATGACATTGTGGCTACCTCTCATTGCAGAATTATGTAGAAACTAAATTAATGAAGTTGTGTTCCTTATTAGTCATGTAACAAAATTTCTTGTTTGCTCTGTCCAGAGTGAGGTTGAGCTTTTATAACACAGTACAAGTAACAATAAAGTCCACTGGCTCTTAGAGATAACTGAACACTTACTAGCATTAAATGCCATCAGAAACGTGGCTCAGGAACATCCCAGTAACAGAACAGCTATACTACTGTTGAGACAGTCTGTGAATTGACTAAATCATTACTTTCTTCATATTTGCAACAAACTCAAACCATTTTGCCTTTCTATAATATAGAGAAGTTTTAGTTATTGCCATCTATTATACACATAACTAAGACAACAGTTTTTTTCAGCAGTGGCACAAGAAATGCAGAGTTCAGGTGTCTACAGGTTATGCAAAACATTTGTATGTAAAAGATGAAGAAAAGCATTATTTCCCTGCACTTTCTGTACAAGACATTACTTCTGTTCACTTGAGAGAAAAAAAGAAAAAGACAGGAGAAAAGGATTTGAAACACAGTCAATTTCATTACAGAGAATAAAAAAAAGGAGGGGACACATTTATATGCAGCAATAATAAATCAGTACTACCTGTTGTTATTGTGTGATCAGTCCTTCATTTCACCTACAATAGCCACTTCTCCTCTCTGCTGTACACCAATTTTTTCATATCCAACCTTTGCAACGTTTATAATCCAGGAAGATATTTCCCACCTTGAGAAAACTATTATTAAATGACTCTGCTCTGAGAGTCAAAAGGTGAGCCAAAAGGTGAGTTACAGGGTTATTCAACTTTACTGGCCCAGCAGTCTGACTAAATCTCCTAAACAGCTGTTCTTTTCCATTTCATTAAGTTGCCTCTATGTTGTCCATTTATAAAAATTGCAGAATTACTTATAAAAATCTGTATTTTTAAGGACTAATGTGTAACAAATAGACTTCTAATCAGTCCATGCCACCATTAATTAATTCCCATGCAATATGAGATCTCTTTTCCATTTATCTCCAAAACAGTTTTTTTCCTTACAGCTTTTTGCTGTTCACAGATGCCAAGTTGTTTGGAGCTATAGAAGTGAATTGACACTGCTGGTATAGTTGCAATCTTTCCCCAGTGCCACGCTTGGCAACACTGCTCTACCGTCAGGAGGCCCAGAGAAAAATGCAAACATAGTCTGCTCTGCCTACTTGGGTCAGTTTTTACAAGAGCAAGGAGAAAGAACAGCAGCAGCACCATGCTCCAAGTCCCATAAACTGGTAGTTTTTAATCTGAGAACATTTCACAGCCCCAGCAGAGGAGCTCTCAAAGGTGAACTCCCTCTGCTTAACAGCAGGACACAGGTTTTCTACAACTGTCTCTCATTCATTTTCATATTATATCCAACAATATAGAATTAGTTTTCAGCCTGAAAGAAACACGGGAAACTGCCATTTTATGTCTAAATCAAGGAGTAAATATATAAAGAGTACAGTATACAGAAAGTACCAACACTGACATTTTGCCTAAACCTGCTAAAAATATCCTGGTATTGGTATCCAATATAATTTTAACATGTTTTTTGCCCCACAGCAACTCAAATAGTTGAACATTCCATCAGAAGGATGAACACATCCACTGTGGGCAGAATTATCTCAATTTTGAAATGCTGGCAATGCCAAAGTAACATTTTGTCCAGAAGTACCAAGGAAAGGTTTGTAACACCAGCAGCCACTTTAACACAATGTATATTTCCCACGACAGAGCTTCACAGCCTAAAGCATTTGCTTGTCAGCCCATTTCCATCTGATTCCCTCGTGAAGGAGGAACCTCTTCCTTCCCTTCCTGGAAGTAATCCTATTGCTTCAAACCAGCGTGTTGGAGTCTGAGACACAGTGTGTGCACTTGTTTCTGATACCTAACTCTGAAATCCAGAAGAACACTGAATTCCATACAGTATGAAATTTATGGGCATGTTTTCATGGTGATACATGAAAACAACTCTTAAAGTTAGATAAAAAAAGCTAAAAGTGTGAGTGTGTAAATTAGAGAGATTCTTAGGTCACTGGGTGAAAAAGTTAAAGTTTAGAGTTTAAGTTAGTTTAGAAAGCAGAAGACAAGATGGAGGATTTAGAATGCTGTTTCTTTTCCTTCTTTCTTCTTCATGTTCTTCTTCTAGAGGTTTTTGGGTAATAGGAAGTGATTGGTTAGAAAATGCCACAGTGCAGCACACAGGTGATGGGTCATTAAGAAAAATAATATACGTGTCTATTGTTAATTGGATAAGAATGCGTATAAAGACAAAAGAACTGTGTAGTTCAGGGCCATTTTGTATCTTCAAAGGCCAAAGTGAGCCACAAGGCCATTTTGTACCATCAGAAAGAAATGGGCCAGACTGCAGTGAATTGAACTTGTGCAGAAAGTCTGGAGAGACCTCAGCTCAGAGAAGCTGAGAAATCCAGGAGTGAAAAAAAGTGCAGAAGAAGCACTGCAGCAGAATTGAGAGAGAAAAAAGAAACAAAAAAGAATTTTTAAAAGAGTTACACAGCATACAATACAAATAGGTTAAAAAGCTCTTCACAGATATGGGATGCACAGCAGGCATCAGAGGATTCAACAATGCAGCCTAGAACCAATTACAGCATAGAACCACTGATCTATACCCCAAAATATTACCTTAGGCCTCCCATTATATATCTTTTCAAGAACACAAACAGATTTTTATGCTTTAACAAGATCACTTCTTTGAAATAATGTTTCAGCCTGGTTCATTCTGAAATAGTCATTAAATTACCTGCTGCACATATCTGTCAGTGGTTTTCCACATGTAGTAATACTCAATGATGCTAGTCAGAGACTTCCAAGGGAGCTGAAAAACATTTGTTAAAAGTTAAAATGATTCCAAGAAATTGCAATGTCCACTTCTTGTTAAACACATGTTAAAATCAAGTATAGTTGAGACAAATACTAGAACCTGAATGCATTAAATAACTGCATTAGAATTCATATGCAAACAAACAATATTGCAATTACTAATACACAGTCTTTCCTTATAGTTAACAAATATTATGGTATCACACATCCAAATCTAAATGTAATTTATTCTGTTTAAGCCCTATAGTTAAAAAAATTGATCAAAACAGAATGCAGGTTTCCATCAGGAAACACAGGAGGTAATATCTCTATAATAGAGTGTCAGATGGAGAATAACATTAGGACTCAAAAAAATCATCTTGACAAGACTGTGCTCGAGTCTCGTGATAATTTTACTCTTAAAAAATACAAAGGATACCATCCTTAGTTCACAGATTTTTTATGTCCTGTAACAACTCAGCTGCTCATACACTACCACCAGTTTTACATAAACTCCCACATGCTCTCAACAATTATCAAGAAACAAAAGGATGCGAAGGACAAATGTTACCCTGAGCAACAAGAGCGATACTGACAATAAATATTTCATAAACATCTCTGTACAAACAAGATACCTTTGATAACGACAAATATTTTGGATTCCCATGTTCATCAGTAAAATAAAAATGAGTTAACCTAAGTGTAGGGGAGAAAATTAGGCAATCATTTCTAATTATCACCAAATAATTTATTTAACTCCACAAGATCTTTCTATAATTTAAATTAGGATGTCTCACCCAAAATTCATGCAATTTTTCTTCATAACTTGAAAACGTCACTAATTTGTGTGTTTTATTTTCTAGAGGTATGCATTAATGCAAATATTATCTGCTTTCTAGAAGTGAGGATAACGTTTAGGAGGTTGCAGAAAATACAGGTGTGGAAACTGATCTTTCCAACCTTACTGACCCCACTAGGCAGCTTTTTGCATGTCTCATTCCAAAAGACTAGTTTCCCACACCTTTAGTTACGTGCCTGAAACACCAGAGGAAGACCTTCTCAAACTGCCTCTCCCTGCATGCAGAAGCTCAGTAGGTTTTCAAGCTGCCTGATTCAGGGTCCGAGTCAGAAGTGCACCACACTGTGTGTGAACCCCTGAACATTTACATTTGATCCAAAAGTAGCAGTGTATGAAATGCATATGCTGATGTCCCAATAAGTAGTAATACAATTCAGGTTCCTAAAATCCTTTTGCTTTCTCAGGTAAATTATGCCTTGAGAGAAATCTTCCCGCAAAAAGGCCAGTGACAAGATGTGTTTGGTGTGAGAGGACAATGTAATGATTCTCAGTCTCCAGGTCTATATTCCTTCTGGCATGCAGGTGAAATGCTTTCACCCCAACCATCTGTCATTGTCAATTAGTGCATTTTAGCATATTCATATTTATTTTCCTTCCTGAATACTTATTAGCACATTTATGCTACAAATGTTTGCCATTTCTCTAGAAAATATTTTAATCTGTTTTAATTTTGGCTGCGACTCCAGTGCGTTCATTCACTCAGTAGGCTCTACAATTAAAGGAAGGTAATTAAGAAGCTTGGACAAAATAACTGTAATCCTTTTACACTTTGATTCAAACTTTGGAAAAGCTGCCTAAGTATGGATAACCTGTATTCCATTTACCTATGTATTTGAACTGCCAGTGAAGCTGTGAGCAGCCATGGAATAACATTGTCATTACCAAATTCTGTTCTTGAAAGAAAAAAAAAATATACTCATCTGCATAACATTTTAGCAGGAGAAAATAAGCAAAAGCTAACAACTCTATAAAAACAGAGAGGGGAATTTTAAGTTTCTTTAGTTTCTCTAGGCTGAAAACAGACCAATAAAATCAGATCAGCAAGAAAAATTTGGTATTATAAAGCATCCTAAAATGAGCATGGAAATTTTAAGGCATGTTTTCATAATTTTCTAAAGCTGGAAAATAGTTGCTCCTGCTTTCTATAAACAGTTCCCATTCTTGGTTATCAAGGCCTTTCCTGCCATATCTGAGATGTAATAGTTAAAATTTTGTGAAAATAGTTGATAAAAAAAACCTAAGAATTAACAAGTATAACATCTTGGTCTTATTGTTAGGAAAATAGTTGCATTTGGAGATCATAAAATATCCATTTTTTTTCCATTCTGCCACTCTGGGATGTGAAATAATTCAAGCACATCAAGTAAATTGGATGAGCTTATAAGGTTTAACTTGATTAGGATTCACACAGAGTCTTAAAGATACAAGAACCTCTCCTACAAGAATCAGTGAGTCAACAGATGATGAAAATAATTATTCAAGAGCTAGATTGGTAACTTGATTACAAATGAGCATCTCCTATCTATGAAAAAAAAGGTAAAGACACCATTTCATTTATAACAATCTTGTTTACTAATATTTAGTGTCTGAAGCTTAATACTTGAGCTGCACTTTGAACATCAAACAGTGGCAGTTCACAGTAACTGCTGGAAAAGTAAATGAATCTGCCCTTTACAGAGCTGTCATGTAAGGGCTGCAATTGCAGCTGCTGTGCCCTGCAAATCTGGGCCGACTTAGAAAAGGCAGCTCCTCTAGGATGCAATGACTCAGGCAGGTACTACATCACCCTGCTGCTTCAGGAGACTGCTACCAACCCCTTTCTGCCACACAACGTGACTTTCTTGCCTGTCCTGTGTGGCACCTCTGTGTGACTGCTCAGGTTGCAGTTTAACCTCAGGCACTGCAGACTTTTATTTTATCATTAGATCCTAATGATAAAATAGACCTGAACCTGAAGTTCACACATACTATCAGCTCATTATCTTCTTTGCCCTTGCTCTTACAACACATCTAAGAGTACTTAGATATTTATCAATAAGTAAACTTATCAGCGGCTCAGATAACAGGAAAAAGTATTACTGTGGAAAACCACTGCTTACATGCTACATATTTATACCTTTTATACCTACCTCACCTTGCAGAAACTTTTCACATATCTGTGAGCTAAATCTCGAAGGACTATTTTCCATGATTACTTAAAAAGCAAATGTTTGTTTTCAAATCCCTGCACTTTTAGAATGCTACATTGCAAGTGAGAACACATAAATTTTACACTACAGAAATTAAGATATCCCAAGACTACACAATGACTAACATAATTGAAAGATTTCAAATTACATAGAATTAAAGACCGTGCACTGTTCTTAGTATCATATAAACTGAGATATAAAAAAGATGTTCTTCTAAGGATGTTTTTAAAATTACACTTTTCCAAAGATTAAAAGAAAAAGCAACTAAGAATAGATAATATCCCTGATAATTTAACTAAATTAAGCTATAATTAATTAGTTTCCCACATCCATTTGTGCTGCACTCTGACTCATGGTTAAGGTGCCCTCAGCAGGCTACACAATTCTATCACCAGATCTGTGTATGTCTCATGCTTTGGGAGGAGACCAGGGGAAAAAAGCTGCATATTGAGAAGGAATATTTAGTGAAAGAGGGAGGGTATCAGGACAAAAATTTTATCAGGGTATTGAACACTATAAACAGCTTCTAGAAAAGTCATTCAAGTATCTATAATTTGAATATTACAAATGCAGAAGCAATTCTTGCAACATGTTACTACACTGCTTCACTTTAATGTAGTAGTAGATAAAACAGAAATTACACAGAAAATAAAAATACTACATAAATACCAGACACAAGGCTTCTGCATACTTGTTCACAAATTGTGTTAGGACAGAACTTGTAAACAGCCAATAAAACATGTTATATGCTTAAGGCATTTTCAAAAGACAAATATTATATATTAGGAACCGTTTAATTAGAAGACATAGCTCCTGAACTATTATACAATTACAAATGAGAACCACTTGTCTCTATAAGAAATAATGAGGAATGTAGTTTACATTGAGATTTCTGTTCTAAAAAATTTATAAATATTATTTTTCAATAATATTTTCTTGAACTTAAAAGAGCCGTTTCAGCCAGGATGAAACTTTCAACCTTATGTCATGAATACAGTGAACATTTTCTCCCTTAGGAATCTCAAAATTAAGCATGCAGATATAATACACCTATTAAAATGTCAGTTCTTTAGAAAAACAATAGCCTTCCCTTCCCACCTTCATTCAATTACCTGTTCCATTTCAAGTCTATGAAAATGAAGGAAAGACAGCTCAGCTCATTGCCAAGCCTCCTCCCACTGTCCTGCACTCTATCTTGGAAGGACTTGTACATTTACCACACAGTACCTTTTTTCCCCTCACAAAGGAGGAGGGAGGGGGAAAACTTCTGCAAAGAAAGCAAAATAATCTGAGCTCTCAGAGTCAAGCAGAATGAGATTAATGTGAAAATTACTTCAGTCATAAATAATGGAAATCCTTTGGTTCAAATCTTAACTTTTTCATGAAGCCCAACTTGAACATGGTACAACGGAGGAAATATTTTTCCTTGAAAGAAAAGGGCTCTCCATAAAATGCAAAAAAAATAAAATTGCAGCAAATTACTAGCAATTCCAGCAATCAGTGTTAGAATCCATTTAATTTCATTACTCTGCATTAGAATTAGCAAATTAAAGGTTTACTGCCCTATAGTCTGATACTTCAGTACAAAATTATTATAGTTAGAACATATTGGAAAACATTTCTTTTACTTTTCAGAACTGCCAAAACATCTAATATGTCAAAACAACTCCCTGGAGTACATTTTAAAAGCTATCTGAATACAAATTTCTATCTGCTAACCATAGCAGGAAACCCCAGCTTTCCAAAAACACCCAGGGGAGTCAGTCATGTAGCTGCTAATGAATTTCACTGGAAATTGTGGAAACACTCTGCAAAGTTCCTGGACCTTTTTCAGATGCTTGTTAGAGCCTTGTTCAAATCCTTATCAGCACATCTTAGCATGAGACATCCTACCTGATATTCAACCAATAAACAGATTCTCTTCTGTCACCATCTTTCCAAAAACTAGCATTGAACAAGAAAGGATATTGACTTTCAGCCAAATAAAATGTATTGATATGTTAATCACATGTATCAGCTACACAGATTTCTCCCCTAGCTAAACCTTCCAAACCTACAGAAAGCAGCTATGCTCAGCCATGGCAACACATAGCTACAGGAAAGGGTACTACTTTCATACTTACAAAGTCTTGTCGAATGTCATTGAAGTCCTTGCCATACTTTTCCAAAGCCTCTTCAAATAAACTAGCTTCTGATGCTGACCACTCTTCCATTTCATCTCTACACAAGACAGGCCCTCCCAGTGGCACTAGAACACTGATGGCACTGCTCAGATCATAGTTGTGTTTATGCAGTGTGTCCATTGCATGAAACTGGCAGAGACAAGGAGAGAATAAAGATGTGTTTAAATACACAGTAGTCCATCTCAGTTAATGCAAATTCAATATATTATTCTCTATAAACCAAGCAAGGAGCCTCAATTAACACTAAATTTAGAATCTATCTTGATATCATAGCTTTCTGCTGCGGAATATGAGGAAAATAAATGGTTTATTATTTTATCTGGGAAAGGAAATACCTTGGTAAAATGTTTACCAAAAACAACATTAGTTTATTAGTACTAGCAAACATTTCTAAAGAATCTCTTATTGGTAAAAATTGGTTCCAAGAAACCCAATAAAGACAGTGGCATAAATTGACTTTGGGGCCATTTTCAATTAATAGAAGCCCTAAATAGTGACTAAACTGCTGCTCAGACATCTATGAGCTCAATATCCTCAGTGCTGGCAAAGGAAGACATTTATTGTTTTCATTATCATCATACTGAAAGAGCAGCAAGATTTTTGTCTCTCGCTAAACACTGTTATCACAGACTCCTAAATAAGGTTTCTTTGGCTGATTCCCTTTCTGTTATTATAAAAAAGAAAGACAAAAAAACAATTAGAACAATCTTCCCACTGTAGGTAACAATGAATGCTCCCAATTGCTAACCAATGATGGGGAATATGAAAAGTTAACAAATCCACCTGTCAGGAAAATGAGCAGCACACAAGAAGCATTTCTGACTCAGCGTCCCAAAAGACCCCATCAGCACAATCCAACTGGCTGTGCTGAAGGAGGCATGAGAGTTATAAGTGTATTGATGTTTGTGACTCTGTATCAGTCTCCTTCCAATGTGTCCCACCACAGTGCTGAGCTCCAAGCGTACCATGCAAACTCTCACAAACCCAGCTATGAGAAAACATTGCAAGGAGGGAACACTCCTGCATTGTGTCAGTACAGCAATTCCAGCTGAGCTTCTGCATACAAAACTACTGCAAATAATGGATTTCTCTTGTTTTTTGCCATCTTCTGTCAATGACTATTGTCTTTCTCCAGTGTTTATTTTAAGTCTTTGAGTGCTATCAAGCACCAGATTCTGTAATTGTTTTGTCTTCAAGAAGCAATGTCACTATTATCCTGCAATGGTTCAATCAAATTCACCAGCCTGGAGAAAAGGCATTATTAAGATCAAGTATTCTAATATGAAAATATGTAACATAATGCCTAAAATCCACCAGCTTCATATTAGAGACGTACAATGAAATCACTGATTTATTATTTACCATTCAGGCAATGAGTAAGCCAGGTCTAAAGACTGAACTCCTACAGTAGATGTGTTACTGAGGTTTAAATCTTTGTTTAAATTGCACCCCTCATAGAAAAGCAGTATACACAGGGCATCTTTCAAGCAGATGCTGAATCTATTCACTGTTACCAACCTTCATAAAAATGACAAGAGAAGTCAATACATCAGAATCTTGCTCTTGCTTTACGTTAATTTTTCATCTATAATAAACATCTAACTCCATAATGCTTTTTTTAATATTACTAAAGAAAAGATTCATTATGAACTCAGTGGGTGAGTGCTGTCTTTGCTGAGCTGTCCTGTAACACAAGACCACTGACAAATTCTTTGATAACCACTCTGCCTTCTACAGGTTTGTCAGCCCTGAACTGCATCAAATTTCCACCCTTCCCTACAAACTCTTGCCCAGAGCATGCTGTCCAGCACAGACATGGGGGCCCATCAGAGAAAAATTACTAGCCATGACAATAAGTGGCAACTTCAAGTCCAAATATAAGCAGGCAGAGGAAGAAACTTTCCACCAAAAGCTAAGGAAGGGCTGCATGGAACTGGAAGAGAGGGCATCCTGCAATCAGCTACACAACACAGCTTCCAAAGTAGCTGCAATTTCAGACTGAACTGCCCCCAGCAAAGCACTCAAAGTGGAAACCGTGTGTGGATTCTCCAATTCAATCATATTTTAAGCATGTTTATCTTAGGAGACACATATATGGAAGTCTAATAAAATCATTAAAAAGACACCATTCAATATGCAAAGGAAAAGACTGTTCATACTTTTCATTTTGAAAAGACATCCAGTATGCAATTTAGGTCCCTACAGTAAAGTCACATAAGCTCTTCTAAACAAGCCCACCACAAGGACCAAGTGATTCCAACAACCTGCTTTGCTTTAAATGGCTCTCATGGTCAGGATATGCACTATGAAATACTTCTGAAACAGAAGGTCTTCCCAGTCTTTCTCTTCTTAGAAACCAATTTTCATTATAAAATAAAACACTGCCTTCGAGAAGACCAGAAACACAACTTTTAGGTGATTCTCATACAAGTCTTTACCACTGCAAGAGAAGCACATTTTTTATCATCTAAGAAGGTAAACATACATTGTTTGTTGTCTTTAGTAGGGTTGTCTAAAAGCAGGGGGTTTCCTATCTTGTCTCATTATCTTCCCTATGTTTTCAAAATAAAGGAGCCTGCAAGCAGCCTCTCAGTTGTTATTCATCTGCAAGAAATGTGTACATCAACCCTGAATTTATCATTATAATCCAAGCTTTTTCTTTTTTTTTTTTTTTTTTAATATCAGTCTGTTTGCAGTTATCTGTGATTAAAACTAATTAGGATTAAAACTTAATTAAGAACACAGGAAAGCCACAGGTGTGGTGTACTGAAATCCCATTAATAGCACCTCAGGTGCAAGGCTTATCTGCCTTGCATTAAGAAGATAGATGGTATCATTTTCTTAGTGTTATGCACCTATATCCAAAGTATAAATGAGACACATCACAAGTTCTGCAAATCTCTCCACTAACTTTAACTGCTGCTGAAAATATGCTCCCAATTAACATGGAAATGTCTAAAAAGTTACTATTATAATGACAAATATGTCTTTTCTTAACTTAGAAGGAAGTATACTGCCAAAAAGCAAAAAAGTAGGGTTTTAGAAAGCTGAGGGGGTAGGAAAATGAGAAGAGACAGACACAATAATTAACTCTAGGGTGGTTCCTCTGATGCCTCATTACAAGATATGCCTTTCATTAAGTGTAATGGAACTTAATGGATCATTTGCAATGGAGAAACATTAACATGGCACTCAAACAAAGTACCCCTTTATTAGCAGATTGCACATGTACTTTCAAATGTGAAATTGCCATAAGGATAAATCCACTCTATTAATCACTGAATACAGTATGCAAATAAAGAAGGGATATGTAATATGTGAAATTTATTAGAAATTCTCAATCCAACAAAATATTAATAAAATGAAAAATGTTAAAGAACTATTTTGATGAACAAAAAAAAGAATTGAATGTGAACAGAATTGTTTGTAAAAGCCATATTAGCAACTGTGAAACAAAAAATTCATTTTAAGTATTACTGGAAACATTGCATTTGTTCCTGCCTTTATGATGCTATCATAGTCCAGATGAAATCAGTGTCCTGTTCAATAGCCTTTGAGTACACTGCAAAAGGTTATAAATTAAATATTTTTCTCATCATAATAAAAAATTTATTTTATCTGGAATACAAGATTTGTCCCACTTATTCAGAGCAATCATGTAACTATGCAATGTGTGTCTTACAGCAGCACCAAGAAATACTAGCTGAAATATTCAGGTAAAACTAATCACAGTCTGAGGTCAATTCCCATTTCACTGAATAGCATCTACAAAGCTTAAGAATTAAGATATTTAGAAAGTACATATTTCCCTTTTCTCCTCACCACTAATTTATGGCCTATATGGCTAGATAATTTTTATAACCATTTTTTAACCTGCTGATACTGCCCATTCCCACAAAATTTTGTGCGAGTTCTAGGGGCTCTCTATTCATTTTGTAAGTCAGTGCCTTAATTATTTTAAACTAATCTGTTAGTTTTATTGAGTTTCCTCTAATTCTAATACTCCGGTATCTAGTAAAGAGCAGGTCTTCCTTAGCCTAAACTACACATCAGTGTTTAGGTACAAAAATACCTAGAATAGTAAAGCAACAGTGGATGTCTTTGGAAATCTAAGTCAAACTTGGTTCTATGAAACAGTAATATTTTTAGTCTCACACAGTGGTCCTGGCATACTTTATTTACTGTAGCACAGCTTCTCATCTCATACGACTATACAGGAACAAACCTGTATATGTATGTGATCAATGTATCTTTCACTTTCTCTAAGAGATGCAGGTGCTTACATTAAGAGTGAACAGCATACTAAGGAAACAGTAGGAATAGTTTAAATGTTCTTTAAAAATATGCTTACAAAGTCATATTGCTTATCCTTTAGAAAATTTGATGGCATATACATGCAGTAAGTACAAAGTATTATCCACACAATTTTCAATCAGCTTTATTACCACATACTTTAAATGGCACTGCCATAATAATCCCTATACAATATGTATTATCCATTCTGCCACTCTTCTGTGGGTATCCACAGCTGTGGGTGATCCTCAACTAAAGCCAAGTGTTGCAGTGTGACTACAAGGGCAACACTGAGAAGGCAAAATGGACAGATTTTCTAACACACACACCCACACACCTTGCATGGAGGTATCTAAAGGACAACAGGCAGATAACTGGGACTTTGGAGTACCAGATAGTGTTGAATTCATGGAGATAGAAGTTGTAGGATGTTTAAGAAGCCACCTACCAGTGTGATGTCTCGGGAAGCAGCAGCAGCACTCATATGTAAACTGGGTTGCCTGACAGAACTACTGCAGTCCAAGGCTCGAGCAAACGTGCCAACCGCACTGCAACAGAGGAACAGGAGGAACAGTAAATACACAGAAAGATGTCATCTCTTATATCAGACTGTGTCATATCTATGAAAGTGTCCTTTTACACATGGAAGTCACATACTGTCACTGTTAAGATTTCAGATCTTTCCTAACAAACAACAACTTGATAAAGACAAATCACTAAACACTGCAGCAAAAACTCTGACCTTCTGCCCCCAAAAGTAACGATGTATGTATAAGAACAGCAGCTCAGAAACAAAAGATACTCAGAGAATTCTCATGTACCAGCCTCTTGATATATCAATTTTTCAATTAATTATGAAGTCAAAGGCTCTCCACAGTTCGGTGTTTACAATCAGGACTATTGTTTCTAACATTACAATGCTATAATAGTGCTCAAAAATTATAATTCAGATTAAAAAGGGGGTTCACCATGTCCCTGTGAGGAAATTAAAAATATTTTATTTACTTCAGTAGTACGTGCCTACTACTTCCATTAGTGAGCCAAAAAAATATTATCATATTAGCTTAGGCTAAGGTACCCCCCAAATCCTGGGGGTGTCACAGGTTTAAAGCAATAATGAAACAAATGGACCTCTCAACCTACTTAATTAAAGCATTCCATTATTGAAATGGACATATTTTTTCTAAAACTTTACATTCTTTTCCACTTTTATTGATGAATTGAACATGGCATCTATTAGACTGTTTCTAAACTGTAAAATTTCTTGGGAGAGCAGTAAACATTTCTTGGAAGTATATCTGTGTATCATGCAGAGTGAAGGAAAAGGTGCATAGAGAATTTGACTGGGCCCAGCATATCATACAGGAAATGAGCAAAGATGGAGTGAAACACAATTATCAATAAATAGATCAGTGGTTTCTCCAGTACCTGGATTTGTATAATGACCCATGAAGTGCATTGTGTCACACTGCTATCAGAAAAAACCCACTTGTTGCAGTTATGACATAAGCCCTTCTAAGTTCAAAGAGCCAGTTATGTAACAGATGTAACACAGTGAGATTCTCTGGCATAGGGACTCAAGCCTCACTCAGAAATTAAACCCCACACAACTTACAAGTGCAGAATTTTACCAATTGTGAATGCCACTGACAGACATTGCTGTAGCCAATAAATCTGACATTTATAAAAAAATGTGTGCTAAGACTTAAACTCACTGAAGTTATAAATGATCAAGGAGAAACTAATAATATGGTATGTTACTGCAATTTTATCTTGAGTCTCAAAAAATTTATTACTCAATGCCTGTTTCAGTACTTGCTGCGACAGTCTTACAAGTTAAGACTCAACAGCAGTGATTCAGACTCCTGGTATTAACTGCTTTAGATTTCTAAAGGCTGTGGAATAACTGATATTCAAATGTTTTTCCACAACCTTTGCCCCCTCTGTGGATGAGATGAGAACACACACACACACACACATTGTCTTTTATTTGTTTTGTTTTGTTTTGAAGCTTGGTAGTACATAAAATAGTATTTGCCCACAAATCACTCCGAAGAATAAGGTTCTATTATGAACACATTTCCTGACACTCTGCTAACCCCTTTCAAGATGTTGGCATTGATCAGGGTTGTAGCTAAGCAGTCTTTCCTGGGATCCTTCTGTCCCTACTGCTCAAACCAGTGAATGTAGCATGACTGCATTTCCCTTCTGCTGCTACCTGCTAGCTTATCTTCCTTTTGCATAATTAAAATTATTTTCTTTTGACCACATTTCTAAAATAAAGTCTGACTATGCTATGAACACTACAAAGAACATTCTCACAGTCACTCCATGCCAGATCAAACTTTGGAGGTTGACTTCAGAGCTCAAGAGCATTTTGTTGCTCAGAATGTAAAACCAAAATTTAGAGCTAACATAAAGCTAGGTTTCTTCTGAATTAGTGATAGAGAGGTAAGAACTGATGCACCAGTGGACATTACTTCCAGTATTGTACTGAGTAGGAGAAGACTGCAACCATCAGAAGAATGCTGTGTGGGAGTTTGGAATATGTGAGTGAAAAACAAATTAATAATAAATAAAACACATAAGGACAAAGTAAAATAATAAAACCAATAAAAAATAATAATAAAAACAGCATTAAACATAATGAAACGAATATGATAACAACAATAAGAACAAAACAAATGAATGATACATAACAAATGCAGGCAGTGTACCATTTGGGGTGTCAGTGGGGACAGGAGAGGGGGTGGGGATGTTACAATACACAAGATGGAGGGTCTGGAGGTATGAGGTGTGTGCATGTCTGTGGCTGTCTTGAAATTGAACTAACTTCCAGTTTTCCTTTCCATAGAAACTGGTGAAAAATGGTGAATTTCCAAATAAGTGTAGAACATTTTCCTGTTAAATAATAACTAGGCTCAAAACTAAATAGTGATACACAGTGTTTTGTATAACGTGGCTATGCAATTCAGATCCAAATTCAATATTAATTATAGAAATCACTAAACTACCTTAATTATGTTTTTCAGTTAAAAAATACAGATATGATCTCGGTGGAAAGGTCAAAAACTACCTTTGTCATTCTTCCTTGCATGACTTTTTTCTAATTCTACCATTAAAGAATTGTTTGAAAAAATGAACAAAATAAAAAACTAAAAATAAAAACAATAAAAAACTAACCAGTGTCATTTCCAGAAGACACAGTATTGTCTTCACCTACCTAAAATAAAACTCAGTATTAAACCAACACAAGCTAAATGGTCACACCCTAACCACGTATTTTTCT